GAAAGGTTTTCGGAAGTTCTCATTTAAAATTCGCGCGCTGTATATTTTTCGATATTTTAAGTTTATGTAGTTTGGCAGCACTGTCCTTAATCACTATGCCAAAAATGAGCGCGATCTGTCAGACAGTTCGTTTACGGCAGCTGTTGAAACCAGTTCACCTCAGTAGTGCGTTGCGAAAAAAACAATGGAAAAAAATATTGAACAAAGAGTTTGCATCCAATTTTGTGTTTCGAACGAAATTTTTGTTGCGAATGCTACAAAAGGCTTATGGGGAATCAGTTTTATCGAAAACTCAAGTTTATGAGTTGTACAAAGCCTTTCAGGACGGTCGTACGACCGTCGAAGACATGCCGCGTTCTGGACGACCTTCGACCTCTACCACCGACGAAAACATTGAAAAGGCAAAGGAAATCGTGTTCCAAAATCCTCATGTGAGTGTTAGAGAGATAGCACGAGAGCTAGGCATCGGTCGTGAGACCATTTTGGTGGACAATTTGTGTATGCGACGTGTCAACGCTCATGGATTTTTCATGACGATAATGCTCCCTCGCACCGAGCCAACATTATCAACGATTTTAAGGCCAAACATTCAATAAATACCATCGAACAGCCCCCGTATTCACCTGATCTTGCACCGTGTGACTTTTTCCTGTTTCCCAAACTCAAATTACCACTCAGAGGAACGCGTTTTGAATCCATAGAAGACGTAAAACAGAATTCGCAGAGGTAACTCAAAGCCATACCGGAAAGCGCCTATAAAAAATGTTTTGATGATTGGAAGAAACGTTGGCATTTGTGTATCGCTTCTAATGGAGCATATTTTGAAGGAGATAAAATAAATATTGATGAAGATTAAGAATTTTGCGTTTTATTTAAAATTTCCGGAAGCTTTTCGGTCACAATGTATTCCACCAAAAAACTTCACCTAGAAGAACGAAATAAATATTCCAAGAATATTTCAACAAATAAATAAAAATCTTGGCAAAAAATCCATGCTTCACCTAGAAGAGTAGAATAACATATATGCAAAGAACTTTATTACGATTTTAGAAGAGTTAACAAGTACCTCTAATTCATCATAATATCAAAATTGGAGTGACAATACAAATTTACAAAGTAGTCAGATGCTTTCCACCGATTTTATAAATAGACGTACTCAGTTTATAACCTACATGAAGGGAAAAACATATTTCTTATTATTCTAATATGATTATTCCCAAACATTGGGAATTGGAGACAATTGCGAATCAGCTAAGCTAATCAGACTGTGGGTCTCAGAAGATCATTCGTGACATGGTAAGATTTGAAGCTACCGCTGTCTTCACACAAATTCTTATTGAAATTAAGTTTTTATTAAGGAATTGATTATAAAATAGAAAGTTCAATGATATACAATTAACTGAACATCAGTTGACCCATTTAGAATAAAAAAATATCACAATTCCCATGAAATATTAGTCTCATAGTCGGTACTGACAGGTCACTGTTGGTTAAGTATTTATATAGTTATTTAAAACATCGAATACCAAAATATTGATATAGACAAAGAATCTCTTTACATCTGCTTTGTCATACAGTGGATGTAGGCGCATTTACGCTGGATTAGATTACGTTTACGCTTAGATTAAGCATGCTAAATAATTTATTTCGGGAAGATCATGTTCAGTTCTATAATCTCTCCTTAAAGAGCATCTTAAGCTTTATTAAATGTTTCAGATTCTTTGGAACATATCATATTTTTGTATAGTAACCCTAAGAAGATGATTAGAATCGATGTTATAACCCAATCTCTTTGAAAGTAGTGGTATACGACTGTCTGCGATTATAAACCTTTTAGTCGTAAACGGACTAAAATTGGGTAACAAGTGTAGGCTCAATAGAATTTTCGCTCCAAATGCTATTCCCTTTACTGTATATAAATAAATTTATTAATCAATTTACATTTACAGGCAATATTTCTTTTGGCTTGTGTTATAAATTACACCTATGGATCAGTGCAACCAAAAGCGCCAAATTTTCAATATTTCGAGAGGTAAGTTATTCGTTACTAGAGATATAATAAATAAAAAATATTATTATTGAATTTTGAAGACCCAAATATCGTTATCCTTATTACGATGAAAATGGACGCGGTAAGCTGTTGTATGGATATGGAGGACCGGAGCTATACCAATACAAAACATATACACCATTAGAAGGAATACATTAACAAATTCATTATATTTATATTTATTTCATAAAAAAAACAAACTTTATAAAATATAAATTATTATGTTTATTATTATTTTGTTACTGTTTCTAGAAAACTGTTAAATATAATAAATTTATACAAATTTTCTTAAATAAAATGTGACAAAATATATAAACCAAGCGATTGAATGGCTTTACTAATATTTTTTTATATTAATTATATTATTTTATAAAAGAACTATTTAAAAAAAAAATTTTATGTTTAAATTTTTATATATCATTAACAATTCTTATAATTCATACACAATTATACTTATTTTCCAGACAAATAAGTACATATTAAGGTTATAATTTTTTAACTTTGTGACTTTTTATTTTACTTTCGTTTTTTCTTCAAAATTAAAACCTTTCATATTGATACATAAAATAAAGTAAAATAATTAAGTTTTTTAATACTGATTTTTTATTTTATTTTCTAGTATTTATTATTCTAGCAATAAATTTTAGTATACATTTCAATAAAAAAATATGTTTAAATTGTATTATTAACAACTAACTTTGTCATATACAAAATATGTTTTCAAATGTGAATTCTATGCAACGCAAGATGTCGCTGGCTTTGTATTTTGGAGACTTCTTTATTAAACATTCGCATCAATTTGACACTTCGTAAATATTTGACATTTGTTTGTTATTCTTTAGCTGTCAGATTTTTGAGCCATACATAGCCTTGCAAAAGCGGGAACGTTTTCACTTCTGAAGAAGATTAATTTTTTAATAAAGTATACATTATGTCTAGAAAAGAAGCTTTATCACAGTTTATCAATCAAATTCATGGGCGCCCTGTTGTCGTTAAGCTTAACAGTGGTGTGGATTATCGTGGTAAGTAATGTGTATTAAAGGTTGCATAAAAAAATATATGCAGCCTGTAAATAGCCGGCTTATTGAGAGATATAAATTCTTCTTTGGAAAAGGGTATTAACTATTATTATATCTATGATTATACATTTTCTTTCAATTTAAATATAAAATTACATAATGTTTCCAAGTATTGCAATATTATATATATATATAAATTTAGAGTATTATATCTAGGAACTTTAATAAACAATGCAATTTTGCAGTGTAGTCAAAATATCAGATGTCAGGAAAATACCAGAAATGAGAAAAGCAAAAACGATAAAAGTATATATCGGTACAATACAAAATATAACAGTTGTCGTAGGATACGATAAGTAAAACTATAGATAACATATTGTCTCGCCAACAATACTCGCGACCGAGTTTTGAAATTTTCTTCTGAAGAGGTTTTACTATTCGTCGCTCAAGCGAACTAAGCAAGCTTCTCACAAAATGGGTGAGCTTCTCGGATTACATCAATAAATCTATATATTAAATGAAATATTAGTACATTGAAAGTTAGTGATGTCAATCTTAAGTTCCAATTCAAAAGATAATCTTGCCCCTTCTTCGGCAAACACAGCTCCTGCCAACATGGATAAGCCTTCCAAATTACATCATCAAAACTATATATTTAATAAAATATTAGTATTTTTAAGACGTCAGTGTAACTAAGTCAATTTTGTGCTTTAATTCAAAATATAATATAAAAAATTTTCTGTTAGCTTTCACAAAATTTCTATAACTTAAGATAATGTTTTACTTTAAGACACTATTCTTGTATAGTGGCACGTTTAGTTTTCCTTAGACCCTTCAAGGGATAGCAAATTTCTTAACATACTAAAGCCCTTACATACTAAAGAATTGTCTGCTTTTATATGCAAAACACCCATAACCAAGAATGGTTAATCAAACAGACTTTATTTTAATTAAACACCCTTTCACATTATAAATATTGTTAAAAAATTTGTAAGTCGATATTGTTTAGAATGTCTAGTTGGGTTGTTCTTTGAGTATCATCGTCATAGCAATTGATTTCAAAACAAAACAAATAAATATTAGTCAAATATCACAACTGACATCTTCAACTTTCATTTGATTATACTAGCATTTTTACAGAACTCTCTTCAAACCCATCAAGTCATGCAGTACAGTTCAATTTAAAAAAAAAATGTAAGGTCAAGATTAGGTTAGTTTATGCCAGCGTGTTTCTAAGAATTTTTTTCTTAATTGAACACAGCAAACTACATATCATTTAGTCACCCTACCTTCTATTATATTGCTCAATACAGAAAAATTCCAATAACTGTTTGCATGATGCCAGTAGTATGCCCAGATCCTTCAAATATTCCGAATGACTACTTACAGCACCCCATCTGGCCATTTCGTCTGCTTTGCATCTGGCGAAAATATCACTTTAACCGGGAACCCGGAGTAAAAAAATATTAAACTACGTCAATCTCATCTCCTGCTTTTAAGAGCTTCATCTAAATGGGCATCATTATTATTTTGTTCTATATTCTATTATTTGTTCTAGTCCTAAGTTGCCGGCAGGACTTTCGTTGTTTTTGTTAGTTGTTTAGACCGCTTATTAGATTAGCTACTTTTTTGAAAGTTATACTTTATTTGTATATAATATACGTAAATTTTTTTTAAGAAAGGACATGACGCTTCCAAATTCCAATAAGCAATTATGTTAAACACGATCCCTAATAATGAACGCGGTAACCGTGTAAGATAGTAACACTATATATAATCGAATTATATTTTATTTTGATCGATCCTTATTGTTTCTATTATATTCGGTAAAGTACGTCAGTGAAGATTCTCAATATCACTAGTTTGTAATTTTATCGATTGCATTATTTAACCATTTAATTTTTAAAATACTATATTCTTTACAAAAATAAATAATAATTTTTTCACATTGTCTATTTAAAGGTGTTCTTGCCTGTTTGGATGGTTATATGAATATAGCACTTGACCAAACTGAAGAATACGTCAATGGACAACTCAAAAACAAGTATGGTGATGCTTTCATCCGGGGCAACAATGTGCTCTACATATCCACACAAAAAAGAAGAGTATAAAGTGTACTATCATTGATTTGCTTTGTTTTATAAATTACTTTTAATTATAAATAAATAATCTCTTTTTATTGTAAAACAATTAGCACTTTTAACTATTAACTGGGATAATAAATTCGTCCGAATTCCTTAGGTATTGCACCATAAGTTCGTAATTGCTGCAGTGTATGTCCGCGTCCTAAGACCGCAATCAATCTCTCGCCTCTTTTGCCATATTTTCGTTCGAAGTAAGGACGCCACGCACGTCCAAAGTGCGGATTAAATACTATTTCGGTTTCTCTCGCAAACGGAGAATTACCAAAGAAAAGATTATCTAAATAATCTAAAACTGCTTTTTTCTTTTGAAAATGTTCAATAAACAGATTTGCTTGAGCTGCTGTTTTTGGATTTTGTGACGGTAAATTTTTAAAAAATTCATAATTCGCCAAATCCAAATTGGACAAATCAACCACTTCGAAGATGTCGTGCAGCAATGCATTCGCGTGGTGGAATGAAGACACAAGACACTGCAATATTACAAAAAAAAAATAATTAATTCAAATTAATTAGTAATTAAGCTTTTATTACCACTAATGCCACTAATTTTATATATAATTTGTACATTTTAAAAACGATATTAAAGTCGAATCCTGTGCCTGAACTGCACTGTCTCGCTCACTTAAAAATTTAAAACTAAACTGAAGTGAATTTCTTCGATTGAATTTCATATAAATTTAATTACACAAGAATTGTTACTCAATAGTTATTGCAACTTTTGGACAATGTACGATAAATTTGGCGTCACCCACATCAATCATCAATGTCAGCGGTGCTCATTTAGCATGCAAGACGCGTAACACATGCGGAGTCGTGAGTTTGGCTGTTACAATTTGCTTTCAGTGCTGGTCGAGAAAAAAGCCTATTAGTTTATTTTTTTTAAGTGTAATAATTTGGATACGCACATTACAACAGTACAAGATATCAGGTGTTCATAATTGAGATTAGGCTTCGTTTCCGCGATTCGTTTCTGCTTCAAACATGGACAACGTAACATTACAACAAACTTTTACATACAAATATGGACAATTTAATGCATAACTCATGGTATGCGTCGTCAGTTGGAATCAAAATGTCATATTGTAATTGACGAACAGCAAGCTCATATCTAGATCAAAATAACTCATTGTTACTTGGCAATACTCGAAACAACTTGTATGGTCAGCAAAATTTCAATAAATTAATTAAATTTTTGTTTTTGTCTTTTCTTTGCTATTCAAAGCCTTCTAACTTTTAATAACTGATATTCTTATATCAGGTATCTAAACTAACCAAGCAATCTTAAAGTAATCTTTATAATTATATAGAATGTAATATAAGGCAAAAATATATTAAATAAAATGTCTTCAACTGCTTAATTAATCCATAAAAGCCAGTTAGAAGGCTAAAAAGCACCAGTTCTCATAGAATACTGAACTATATGATGCCTTAAAGCTATTCGTTGATTTGTTTCTTCATATCATGGATACAACACACCTCTCTACACAGCTGCAGTATCCTCTATGAGACCACAATTTCACTGCAACAAAGTTGTCAATATGCCCCTGCCAAATACTTTCCAGGAATAAGGTTGCCTTCCCCATACAGCGAGAACTATCAATGAGATCGGTTATAGCCAAGTGCTAACAATTGCTTATCACGAATAAATCCGTCAATTTCTAATGTGTGCCCAACAGCAGTTCTACCCCCTATGATGTCGACCGTCTGTTTTCTTGCCGCAATGTGCACACAAACCTAGATCCAATCAACCTTTCGAATCGCCCTTAAGAAATAACCAGATTTCTGCTTCTTGAACCCAGTTGACTTCAATTTCTAATAATAATAATCTCTTCCCCTTCACAACCTAACACATACAACCATTACACATCCATATCCTAACATGTACATGTCATGTAATTCATGTTATATGGTTTACAGATCCTTGTGGGCTATAACGTTAACAAGTTGACATGGAGCCAACATGATGCTGCCTTATGAAAACCTCCTTAAATCATGTTTGCCAGCTTTTATGGTAGCGATTCCTGACTGTCTGTTGTGTCACTGACCTAATTCAACGACAATCCGAGTTCAATATATGGGGGGGTTATATATCAACACACTACACAACATAAAAATCAGCCAAACACTTGAGTTCATTAATACGTCTGTCGTTTTGTAAACTTTCAATGGTTTCTCTTTCTACACAACATTGAGAACTTGAGAATTAAATATATTTCCTAGTTAATTTAGGATATGGTTGCTAAGCATCTATTTCATCATCTATTTTGAAAGCATCTATTGCTTTAATATTCCTTATATAATTTTTGGACTGCAAGTGTCAGGAATTGACCCCTCTCCATAAATCTTAAAAAGTAGACATTCGTTAATTAGTTTGCCATTGAGACCAAATCTTTTTATCTTAACTCCACTGGGTTTTCTTCAGAAGATAGCATTCTATTCAACAGAGAAGAATACTGCTAATATCCAGTAATATACAACTTTCCATACTCTTTTCATAATCAACTAAAGGTGTATTATTGCATATGTAAAATAAAGAATGATCTTAATCTTTAAGGTTCCAAGAACGAACGACCGGGTCTGCGTCTCGGAGCCACTTGTCGATCCAGACGACCAATGCCATTTAAAATCCCTCAAACAGCAACACACAAGCAGATCCCAGCGGGTTACAACAACAACGACCTCGGTGGTTAGTAGAAAATAATTCCATATAAACTTTTACAAAGTTCATTTATTAAGCATATTATATTCATTAATATCTTTTAATATATATATTATACTAATGCACTTCATTTTTAATTTTTTTGTTTTATTTCTTTTCGATATAAAATTATAATTTTGCATATTATATTTATAATCGGGTTGGTTTTAGTTATCTACTTAAATGTTCTTGTTAACCCCTTTTTGTGTATAAGAATAAAGTTAAAATCACTGCTGCACACTCGCTTGACTAAATTTAAGGATTTTCTGTGGAGCTTTGTGTTTTATTAATTACATTTTATTATTCATTGAACTTCTTTTTAAAAATAGTTTGTTTCTTCGTGCAAAGCCGTCGTATTTTGAGATTAAATTAAAAGCGTTGGATTAGTTTGCCCAGGATAACAACTGTTTCATATCCGGATCATCTGTGGGAATGTTAATAAAATATTATTTAATTTTCTTTATATAAAAAAGTAAAAAACTAACCATCATCTTCAACCGCTGTTGTGGTGGCAGTGGTAGCAGCAGCTTTTTTCTTCGCTTGTTCTTTTTGTGGCAATTCATCGGCCGGCACTTCAGGTAGTGTAGCTCCTGGCTCTGGAATTCCAATAATCTCTCTGTCAAAGTTTTCTTGTTCTAATTCATCTAATTCCTTCATCAAATCTTCGTCGTCAATATCAGCACCTTAATATTTAAATTAAATTCAACATTGAATTAAAGATTAAAAATTATTTTATACTATCATACCGAATGCAACTGGATTTGATATTGCGTCTGATATTTCACGCGCTACATCTTGTTGTTCTGCAATATCATCCATCATATCGTGCACCTTATCAACATCCCTAAAAAAAAATAAAAATTGTATGTAATTTAAAATAATAAATGTAAATGTTTTTAAATGTAATTTAAATACTATACTAAATATATATATATATATATATATATATACTATACTATTATACTCTCTCTCTTTACAAATAATAAATATAAATATAGACTTCCAAATTAAATGGCTTCTTAAGGATAGCAATGAACAGTGAATGAACACTATGAATGAATGGTGGAAATCACTATCTTCTTAGTTTTACCAGAAGGAATTGGAAGACACTGACACTTTCAGATACTGTAAAATGAAGAGTGAACGTTCCGCTCACCTTATGGTTATTAATACTTCTTAAAATAGTTCTTAGTGTAATACCACAGACTTTTTGTGGTTTAATGGGAGCCATATTGATTGGTTCTTAGCTGCTTGTGCCAAGAAACTAATCCATATTGTTTTTATTTAACCACATAAAGTCTGGGCTTATGAGCTAAGAATTGTTATTAAGAGTGAACGTTCCGCTCACTTTATAGTTATTGTAACCTCTTAAAATAATTCTTGGTTCAATATCCCAGACCATTTGCCATTCAATCGGAACCATATGGCTTGGTTCTTAGCTGCTTGTGCCAAGAAACCAATCCATATGGTTTTCATTAAACCACATAAAGTCTGTGCTCATGAACCAAGACTTGTTATTAAGAGTATCAATAACCATGAATTAATTATTCATATTTGTTAGGCGATTCTCCGCAGTGATAGCACAATTTTGTATAAGTTGCAGTACACCATTGTCTTTTTTTATAAATATAATCACGATAACATTTCGCTCTTCTTATCAAATGTTTACTTTAATGCTACTGCTTTCATGCACTGCATGATTCATTTACTTCCACTTTTATTTGATATCTTTTAAGGGTTCTGTGGTTAGTACAAATCTTTAAAATACAAAATCTTTGTGGTTAGCATACAAGATGAATATAAATTGCAGATAAGACTGCTGTAAACAAAGAAAACATAATCGCGCCCATCTAAGAGTGTTTATGCCATGAAAACGAAGCACATAGTACTAAATTAAGTAGCAGTATCTCAACTGAGTTTCAAATTAGTTGTGATATCACACTAAATTGTTTTTTTGCAAATAGTAAATCAAACAAGGGTATGTCATGGACACAAACCATAAGCACACAGTCTTAAAATGAGTAAGAATATTTCAACATAGTTTCATATAAGTTGTGATATCATCTCAACGTGAATCGAACAAGGGTATGTCTAATCGACAAACCATTAGCACACAGTCTTAAAATGAGTAGCAGTATTTCACTGTGATTTCACACTCTGCAAAGAAGCACCTTGTAGATTGGAAATCGGAGCATGGTATGCCATATGGACAAACCACAAGTACATAGTTTTAAAATGAGAAATACTACTTCAACACAGTTTCACACGAGTTTTTAGCAGATTTCACACTTAATCTTTCAATTGGACAACATTGAAATTGAATTTTCCATGATGGTGAGTGAAGCCAAAACTAAACTTTCCATTATTAAAATGTGCTGCTAACACCTGAAATAAAAAATTGTGTACTTAATATAAGCTTACATGTTTTGATGTGCTGATTTGAGTGCATCAGCAGCATTCTTCATCGTTGTCAAGACGGCTGTGTTTGTGTTGGCGCTCTCCAGTGCCTCGCGCTGCATCTCAATTGTTGATAACGTACCATCGATTTGCTGTAATTGTTTTTCCAGACGTTTTTTCTTCTTTAAAGCTTGTAAGGCAACTAAAATAAATTTGCATTAATATCAATTCAATATTATGTATATATATAACTTATATTGCATTTTGTAACAAATGAATATATAGTCATCGGCAACAGGAAATACACCAATGGTATAAATCAATTCAACCTAACAATTTTATCATATAAATTAGACAAGTATAAAACTATTATAAATTATGAGAAAAAGCAATTGTGTGATGACTCATTTTCATTTATATACGCTCTTGATTCAAAAACGCAATTAAATAATTTTAAATTTTACTTAAGTCTTCGAATTGCCACTACTAACCTCTTTTATTTTTTGAAGCATTTTTTTTAGCTATATCTAATTCCTCATCAATTTTAGATTCCAAAAATTCTTGTTTCTTGATGAGCATATTTTCCGTTTCTCGCAGTTTTTGTATAGCTTCTCCTGTAGTGGGAGCCTGCTCCTTTTTACCACCGAACATTTTTCCGAAGAAACTCATATTGGCTATATTTTATTCTATTTTTTCTTTCACTAAATATGAAATTATTTTAAAATTAAATTTCTTTTGACTCTTAATTGTACGGAAATATTATGATGCTTGGCGAATGTCTGCTGAAGATATTTCAATATTTTTTTATTTGACATTGAGTGCGTCATCGTTTTGACAGTTAAATTTCCCAACAATAAAATACAGGGAATTTTCATATGCTATTACAAATAAAATAAATATTTCATTATGAAGATTTAACAATACTAAATATTAAATTAAAAACAAAAAAAAAAACAATTTTTGCATTTTATTGAACATTTAACTAACAATAATTCTAATAATTAAATGATTAAATAATTCATTACCCAAGCACATATTCTATTACTTCATTCTGACGTTTCGTAAACAAAAGCAGGGACAAACAAGTAAAAGACACAATTTTGTCAAAATAAACTAAAACTACAAAAAGTGAATTTTTATATCTATAATATTAAAATAAATATTAAATTTTAAATTTAACACATGGCGAATCGCACAGTGAAGGAAGCGAAAAATGTGCATGGTACAAATCCGCAATATTTAATTGAAAAAATTATACGTTCTCGCATATATGATTCTAAATATTGGAAGGAACAATGCTTCGCGCTGACAGCAGAACTATTGGTCGATAAAGCTATGGAATTACGATTTATTGGTGGTGTCTATGGTGGAAACATAAAACCTACACAATTTCTATGTTTAACATTAAAAATGTTGCAAATACAACCAGAAAAAGATATTGTAGTCGAATTTATAAAAAATGAAGAGTTCAAGTATGTACGTGCACTTGGAGCGTTCTATTTACGACTAACCGGTAGTGCTATGGATTGCTATAAATATTTGGAACCATTATATAATGACAATAGAAAGTTAAGACGTCAAAATCGTGGTGGCCAATATGAAATAGTTTACATGGATGATTTCATAGACGAACTATTAAGAGCTGATCGCGTTTGTGATATAATTTTACCCAGAATACAAAAACGTTCTATACTTGAAGAAAATAATGAACTAGAACCTAAAATATCAGCATTAGATGAAGATCTTGATGAAGAAATTGTAAGTGAAGAAGATGAGCCCGTTAAGAGTGAACCAAAAATTAAAACGCCATCAAAGAAAAAGTCAAAGAAGGAACGTTCTCGTAGTCGTTCACATTCAAGGGAACGTGGACGTTTGCGTGATTATAATGATGATTTAGAAGCTTATAGCCGACACAGAGAACGTTATAATCGTGACAAGGATTATGAGCGTGACAGAGATTATGAACGTAATTATGAGAAAACTAGCTCTAGCCGTTATCGTGAAGAGCGTGACCGTGGTCATCATAGTTATGATGATTATCATAGCAGCAAACGTTATGAGTCGAGAGATTCACGCGGTGATCGTGATAGAAGGCGGCATTAATATTATTGATTTAAGTTATTCTTAAAAATATAATAAATTTTCTTTTATAAAGCAAGATTGTTGCTTTTTTATTTGCTAATTTTAATGCTATGTCTTGATTGTATTAAGAGAATTGATTGTATAAGTTGTAACAATATTGTTTGTTTAAGAAACATTTTTAAGAATGTTAATATGGAGCTTAAACTGAAATGTATTACAAATGATGTGGTTCCAGGCGCGATTAGGTGTACGTAATGGAGCCATTTGTCAAATTAGACAACCAAGTGCCGCTCAGCATTCGCAAAAGGGACTTTATCAGCGAATCACAAATATGCAAATCAAAAGACCATATGTTTGTAAACCATTACCCTCTTGGAAGAAAGATTTTGGCAATTATAGACACACCACAAATTGTTAAAGTAATTATACAGAAAATTACAATTTTTATTTATTGACTTTGTCTTTCTCAATTCATTGCATAAAAGAAACTGGAAGCAAAGATTTCATCAACTGCATAAATTAGGATAATTCTTAAACAAAGATCTGTGCGAAAAAGGTGTTATCTAATATTGATATATATATGTTATGCTAGCAATCTCAAAAAGCTATATTAGGAACATAGACTATATATCGGTTACTAGTAGTTGCACATTGAATTTTAGGATAACTTGTGAAAATATCTAAATGAAGCGTTGTATAACAATGCTATATTATATGTATGTGTATGGGTTGTTAGTTTGGAATAGTGTTCTTGTTCACTAAAGCCTGCTTGAACTCAAATAATAGCTCGTTGTGATATCAGGAATAAGCGATAGTCGTACGCAGACCAGAAGAACTCCAGAAGAAAGAAGACCGCAATTGTCAGCGTACAGAAAATCTCGATATATGAATATATATTTTGAAGCTTATAAATCTAGATTACATCGTAATCCATTCTAAATTTAAGAACTGTAAGGAATTATATTGTCTGACAATCACTTAGTCCGCTTAAACAAAAGTGGAAGCTCTAAATAATATTAAGCCATATATCTCTAACTCACTGCCATATCAAGTATAGGATTTCATATTAAGAGGAAAGGATTTCTTAGTGCTACAGTAAGAAATTAATCTTTATTATCTTCATATTAGGATTTACCTAAAAAAATAATAATAGTGCTTTATATGGAGAGTAAGTCAACTGTTCAAGTTATTCATAATTACCATAAGAACTTTTACCATACGAGTATTTATAAAGTAAACAATCCATAATCTGATAGCACCCATAATTGCCAATTTATTTAAACTATACGCATCCATATTTCAAGTACCAAAAGTTTCCTGTAGCATTGTTTGCATTTTATATATTTAATTTTAAAATCATTGTTATGTAACTATTTTATTCATTTATAAGCATTAAAACGCTATTAATGTAACTTTTAAAATAAAAATTTAAAAAATTTATAATAATATTATTTTTAGTCCTTTTTCTCTAGAAAGTTTTCAAACTTTATAAGTTTTTTGACCTTTTATCAGGGTGGAATGATTAAACAGCAGTACAATTATTAGCATTTAAATAATAAGCTTTTTAATTTAATATTTTTACATATTTTTTTAAACAAATTGTAAATATTTGTTTTCCCTCACTTTATACATGTTTCTTCGCTTACAGCAAAAAATAAACAATTGCTGATATGACTGAACAGCTGATTTTGACATTTCTTTATGAGGAAATTTCCCACCACTTTTGCATGAATGAAAAGGAAAAACAAAAGAAACGAAAGTAAATTCTAAGCAAAACAAATAATTAAAATGTAAATAAATGTTAGTAAATATTTATATGTATTAGAAAAATAATGAATTGATGTGATCATTAATGTAATAAAATTAAATATTAATACATTTAAAAACAACAACAAACTTGTTTTGAGCTTTACAACTGTTGCATATCATTAGCAATTTTAGTTAAGCTTCAGATTCGATTCGTGACACAGTGCACTGACGGACGTGTTAAAACAAGAAATTAAACGTATATTTAACAATAAGTTAAATAAAGAGAAAGTATAATAAAAACGTAGTGACGAAACTCTTTGTTATTTTGTATAATGATAAAAAATTAGTTAAAAATTACTTATTGCGCATCTAAGCAAAATGAATTCGGACGAAGAGAGACTATACAATCCCAACAATGAGGAAAGGCAAAGCGCACAAGTGTTGGACGCATCAGACGTGACGACGACGACAACAACAACAACAGCATCAGCAAGTCCAACGGATGAAACTGCCAACGATAATAGCACAAAAGAATCGGTACCAAGTCCAACAGCAGTAATACCTTTATGTCGTCGTTGGTTCATCTTGGAACCAGCAGTCTTCCTCGTATTTTTAGCATTGTATTTATCTGGTTAGTGTTTAAGCAAAATTATTTATTAAATTCAAAATTTCTAAATAGTTGGTATTTCCAAACGTTTACGAAATATAGGGGCGGTTTATCAAAATCAAATTCTTTATCAGACTTGCATTGTTGTTTACAAATATAATGACACGGAATGCCAACCACTTTTGGGAGTTAGCAGAGAATCTCCAGAAGCTGAAGTAAGTGAAAAAAAATAAGATAATATTTAAAATTTTTTTTTTATTTTTTTATATAATAATTTTATAAAATATGCTCAGTGGAGAAAATACAAATTAATACAAAATTAATTATTTGTTTATATCTAAATGATTAATATTCGTGCATGACTGCTATAACACATACCATACTATATAAAATATTGCTACAATATTTTATTACTGCTTTTGTCATTATATTAATAATTAATTTCTGTGATTCACAATTTTTAATTTATTTATTTTTTTTGTTTTTTCCAATTGAAATAAATAATTCGTGGCATGGAATATTTTTTAAGTAATTAAGATGAAGCAAAAAGTCATAGTTTTGAATTAAAAACCAAGTATTGCTTAATTTGTTTCTATAATACAGAATAGTTAGAATTTGTTTTTTGATTATTTTGTGTACAACTCAAGAACTCAAATTAATTTAAAAAATTATTTAAATTTATAGAAATTTCATTCATAAAGCATTTTATAGAAATTTCTCACAGACTAATAGACATACATATGTATATATATATTAAATGCTTTCATTGTTCTTTATCTTCTCTCTCTCTATATCATAAGTCCTCAAAGTCATTTCTTTGAGAGCATTTTCGACGATTAATTAAATCGTGTTAAAATTTTTTACAAATTATAGCTCTAAGGGTTTGTTAAATATTTTTAATATATTATTAAAAAAAAAGATTTTTAAAAGTACTAAATATATTGTACAAAAATATTTATTATTCAAAGAGTAGTAAATATAGAAAAAAACATATTAATAATGTTTCGAGTTACTTAATATTTTCATATTTTCACTATTTATATTCTATTATGTAGGGTTTTCTTTTGTTAGAAATTCTTTTAAATTTAGTCTAACCAATATAAATGATAAATTATAACGAAATCTTCATTTAGCAGCTACTCCTCGTTTATGGTCAAGTACCGTTAACATATTCTGTCAGTTAAATAGATTTTCTTAGCTACTCCAAAACTATTCAGACTTATTCAAAAGCAACAATAAATCTTAAAATAATATTATCTTGAACGTTCTTGTTGTTGTAACCCGCAAAGATCTATCCAACAGACAACATAAAAGTAATTACAAATCCGTTTATATTGGTAAGAATGTGGTTAACTGATTGTAGACTTAGATTATAGAACTTAGGGAAATATGAGTAAAATGGTTTAAAAATGGAAGAATATCAAATTTTATACACACTTTATTTTAATTATAGGCGAATAATACTCAATACCATCAAAATCTACTGTCAATTAAATGACAATATAAACTTGAAAGTGTTATAAAAAATCAAATTCCATGGAAGTTATAGTAGTATCAGACTTTGGACCATACTCTGCATATCGTATAGGTTTAATACAATAACGACTACGTTATTATGGACACTAAGTGCTTAATCTTAGATTAACAGTACAATATTGTTTTTGTTTTTGTTTTTGTATTTTTTTAAACTAATTATTGTTCTAATTAGATTCCGTAGTTTCATTGTTCTTACAAAGTAAGAACTTTATTTGCGCTTTGAAATGTGAATATATTAATTTATGCATATTTATATTTTTTTCACATATTTCTTATCAACAGAATAAACAAATAGTCTTTGTAGTTTTCCTTATATATAAAATAGATGTAATGCGACTATTATCTAAAACTTTAAATTGTATGTAGCATTTTATTTAATAGATATTTATTTATATGAAATATGATATAAAGGGTGTTTTTTAAGAGGTATAATTAGATAAATATTATATATTAGATGATTACAATATGACCTTATAATATGGCAAATGATTTCAAGCATATGGCTGCAATAAGGGTTGTCGAAGGATTTTCATTATCTAGTACATAATTTTATGCAATTATTGATCATTTAAAAAATCAAGCATATTTTTCATATATTAATATCTAAATGTTCTTATTTTTGAGATTTTATTCAGCAAAAAACTTTATTTAGATTATTTAAAATTATTTAGAATGTAAGATTGTGATGTTTAGGCGTATGGCCACAACGAAAGCATTTTAAGAACCATGCCATGGATGTCTAATTTTATTTCACTTGAAACTATGAATCATTAAGGACTATGAATCCTGAAATCATAACTGGCTTGTCGGCATGGACCAATAATCTCAAGTATCTCCACATAAAATAGTTTTCGTTATGATTAATTAGTATCTTTCTCGACATTATTTTTGTTAGAGACCCATCTTTCACCCCTCTTTTTAAGTATGTGTATTATTACATTTTTATTGTTATAATTTTTTAGTTATCTGTACTCCTGTAAATAAACTGTTTTTCACTTTTTTCAATTACTTCAATATGTTTTTCTGTTAATGAACTTTAATATTTAATATTATAAGTTTATTAATCATTTATTCTTAAATATAGTACCAACTGTTTATCTTAACAATGACAGACAATTATGAACCAGACAATATATGTATATAAAGTATCTTAAATGAATATTCATATCATTACTCATTTGCACATATGGAATCTTAAATATTATTCATAAATTTATTTCTATATTTATTTAAACAACCCTTCACCAAATATTTACATACAATATTCTATAAAATTAACAGACTGTATAAAAAATATCTACTATTGCACCTCTAAAAATGTATTTCTTATATGACTATGAAGTTTATTAATCAGCCTAGTCTCTAATACAGATTCATTAGTACCTGAGCTAAGGCATTTCTGTTCTTGTAGCCCACAGAGATCTATTAAGCAGATAACATAAAATACATTACACAGACATGGTATTATGAAAAAGAAAGGAATTTTTTAGGCATAAAAATGGATTGTGGATCAATTAATGAACTCACCCTATCCAGGTAGTAAGATTACTTACCAAGACTAATTTTAATTATCACCTCGGAAGTTTGAGATCATTCTGTATATATATTTAAAAATCATATTTCAAAGTTTCAAAGGAAACTTATTAATCGTATTAGTCTCTTACGAGCATTCATTAGTACCTGTGCTGGGGCATTTTTGTTGTAATAACCCGCAGAGATCTATCAAACAGCTAACAAAAAAGCAATTACACAGTCATGGTTTAGGATGTAGGTACGTGAAAGTAGGGTGAGAAAGGAGAGGATTATTTAGGAGTAAGAACAGATTGGGGATGGGATTTAAATTGAAGTCAACCGGGGTCAATTCAAAGAAACCTAACCAAGTTATTCCAGAAACTCGATTTAAGTATCTCTCATCAAATTTGTCGACTAATATATTATCTATCTAACTAATCTATCTAATCTATCTAATATTATAATTTTTTTTAAGCGCATAGAAACTGAAGTTCAACCTTATGTAGCACGAATTCTTATGGCCCGTTCTCTACTAGAAAGCATAATACCAGCATTTGTGAGTTTATTTATTGGTCCTTGGTCAGATAAATTTGGAAGGCGACCAATAATTTTAACAACATTCACAGGTAAACATTATTGTTATTATTACATTATAAATACTACAAAAAGTAAATTATAAAACCATTTTCAGGTTACTTCTCCGGGTTTGTGATACTGACTACCCTTGCGTTTTTATCGACTAAAGTTGTGATATCTCCATGGTTATTTTTACTATCATCCATACCATCTGTATTAAGTGGTGGTACTTGTGCGCTTATAACTGGTATTTATTGTTACATATCCGATGTTGCGAAACCAAAAGTAAGAGCAGTACGGTAAGTATCAGATTATACCATATTATATTATACGTATATGTAAAAAAAGAATTTATTAATTATGATTGAAATTTATATTTATAGTATGGTTCTTAATGAGGCTTCACTTTGCGCTGGTATGATGATTGGTAATGTAGCCAGTGGCTATATATATGGCGCCACCAATGTGGTAACAGTTTTCTTTATATCAGCCATATTTATGGTGTTAGCATTACTTTATGTCTATATTTTCGTGGTGGAAAGCCTTACTGTAGAACAGATACACCCTGGCGTAAGTTTTTTAAATTTTATTTAATTATTATTATTTAAATGTTGTTTTTAACATTACAGTCTAAAATACGTCAATTTTTCCGTTTCGATTTGGTGAAAGATCTTGTACGTACTTGCTTCGAAAGACGACCAAGCTATGATCGCGCAATTATTTGGTTAACAATGATGTCTTTGACAATAGCCATATTTACTATGGGCAAGTTAAACTATAATAGAGTTGATGTTAAAAATATATAATTATTATTTATTTCACAGAGGGTGATAATAATGTTACATATCTTTTTGTGCGGAAGAAGTTTGATTGGACTCTGAAAGACTACAGTTTATTTAGTGCTGCTCGCATTGTAGTCCAAATTGTAGGCAGTATTTTTGCCATGATATTTTTAAAAAGGGTAAATATTATACATTATTTTTATGTCATATAGAAAAGTATATAATGTACTACCTACGTTTTATATTATATATAACATTCTATTTACAAAACAATCTGCATTGATATTAGTATATACCGCAAGGTGTAATACATAGATTTGTGGTCATGCAGATACTACTCTATTCATTTGATTGCAATGCTGTAATGCTCGCAACTCGGTATCTGTACTGTCAACGTGAGTAGGTAATAAGCCAAGAAAACCGTTTTGATTTCAAATTGCTCTTTATTGTTTGTATAAAGTTGGGCATATTAGAACCAACCGCACGCATTAATAAATGCAACTATGCAGCCAATAACAATATTGGAAATATCACCGAGTGTACTAAAGAAGAGGGCGCCTAAAACTTAGGACTGGTTCTGGCCAAATCTGATCATAAACACATCAGTTGGTCCGATGTCTTCTCCTTGAACGCCGGTGGACATATTTTACAGAAGATTCGACATGTCAGGCACGAATAGTTATTAGGTTTAAATTTTGTCTGCGAATATAAATGTATATCTGTTAGTGAAAAAGTGAAAATGTTGGAAAAATCTAATCAAAACCTATCCGATAAAAACGCTGTATTAAGACCTGATATCTCTTCTGCACAGCTCAAGAAGTCTTTGGGCATGAAAATGTTCGAGGTAGGCTTTGCACCAGGAAGTATCCTCTTGATACCAGAAAGTTTATTACTTAGTTATATTAAAAATAGTTGGAAAAGTTTCTTTATCAAGTACACAAAATATTTAAAAATAGTGCAGAAACTAATGAGGAAATAAATAATAATAGGAGGATAATCAGAGGAATTTTGAAGGGGCTCATCCCATTTGTAATCAAAGCTGTTATAATGCGTTATAAAATTAAGTAATTTTTTCATCTAAAAATGTTTATATTTTAAGGTATTGAAGTTCTCTATAATTACTATGACGATGATTTCTTTGGCATGCTGTGTGCTTGAAAGTACAGTACGTGCCACTGCAATCGTTTGGTGGGAAATGTACTTAGGCCTGAGTTTAGGTTTTATGCGTGGCATAATGGGTCCTATGTCTCGTGCGATTTTATCACATGTTGCACCAGCAACTGAAGTTGGTAAGTGCTCTTATATTATTCTTTAGTTAAGAAAATTATGTAAATCATTATTAATTAATTTTTTTAAAGGTAAAATATATGCTCTAACAACATCTCTGGAGTGCGTATCACCACTTGGTGCAGCTCCTCTATATACTTTAGTATATAACTTAACGCTATCATATTATCCTGGAGCATTTAACTTTATAAGTGCTGGACTTTATCTACTATGCTTTACATTAATATCGTAAGTTATTACTCACACGAGTTGTAATCTTCATATATCAATAAATAAATTTTATTTAAAGCACAATTTATGGCATACAAAAATCGATGGGTAGTACTGCTGCTTATGAGGCTATCGGAAGTTAGTCACAATTTTAGTTACATTTTAATCCGGATTAAATTTTAGACATTTTATCGTATCAAAGTGATCTTTCTTTATGACTATAGTATTTGTATAATGAAATTTATAAATTTATTAAATGTATATTTAAAATAAGATAATTTAAATATTTTTGGAGAATTTGTAAATTATGTGTGATTGTAAATAGATTTTTAATTATTTAACCAATTGTAACACAAATTGTAATTATTACTTTACGTTATTAAATAATAGTTAAATTTATGAGCTTTAAATATTCAGGAATATACAAAAAGAAATATTATAGTAAAAAAATAGTTAATAATTAAAAAAAATAAAATTAATTAATTAATATAAAAATATTGTTTATTTTTATTACTATTATTTTATTATTATATTTATATATATGGGCTTATTGGTCTATTTAACAAAACGCAAACTTATAATTTATATTTATATATTTATTTTTATATTTATATTTATATAGTTGCTATTATTTGAGGAAATTTAGTTATTTCTATGACCAACAATGTTTAATATGTTTTAACATATAATAACATATATAATAATATTAATAATTTAATATAAAAATATGTTTTGTTTATGTATACGTATATTTGTTAATTTAATGAAACTTAAATATCATGAAAATAAAAATAATATAAAATAGAAATAAAAATCTTATTTATATTACAATAAATTGAGCAAAAAGACCGTATATAAATAAAATGTAATAATATAATATTAATTTTAGTTTATTGTATACTTATGTATATGCATAACTAAAATTACTCTTAACTTTTTCTAAGGTATACTTAATTTGAACATAACTTTGTTACGATTTCAATACCTTTAGGTCTGATAAATTTTTATTTTTATTCTGAAGTACCAGTCATTTTTGGAATATTGAATAGAATGGCTTTTAAAGATTATCTTCATAATAACTAAAAATAAACAAAATATTATTATCTATTATTTATTTATTTATAGTCTTATTACAATCTTGAAGGAATATATATATAAATTCGATTGTTCATATTCAAAGACTTTTTATTCAAAAACTTGTAATTTATCATCAGTTATGACGGAAGTGACTATTATATTAAATACAAGCTAGCATATTTGGTAGAAAGATTTCGAGTGGCATATTTGGTCATTCAATTAATTAAAATAATATAATAAATATAATTTTTGTTGTTGTAGCTCACTACATTTCGAAACCTCTCTATCAAATTGTTTTTTTATAAATTAAAATTTTATATATAACGGTATAACGGTTTTATATAATTGTTATAAAAAAAGTTGACTTAATTTATGGTAAAAGTAGAAATGCTGTCTCTAAAGCATACGGTCAGATATGTTCTAAAATAACGTAATTTGTTTACAATAATTTTTTTAAATCCTCTTGGCTTTAAAAAAACCATTCTCACCATTAACGGTGTTGAAATCCATATAGGCTGAAGACCCGATACCTTTTTAGCTCCTTCTAGCGAACTCAACTATTTTCCAATAGAAACCTTAGTCGAATTTGTTGATATGGAAATATCGTAGGAGTATGTAATTAAAAAAGTTAATTAAGTCTAAAAGTTAATTAATTTACTTTTTATCGAAATATTTACGTACAACAAATGAATCATTGATGTTCTCGCGTACGTATTTTCCTAAGATATATTTAAGTTTTCGGGTTTCTAAATAAAAGCTAAAAGGTGTGGATGATTCATAAAATGTATAAATTAAAATATTGATTTTGTATCAGAAATATGTAATAGAAATATAATGCCTTTTTATCTTTTTAAATTTTCTGTAATTATATCAACTTAGCACGCTTAGATGTTTAATGTATTTAAGTTATCTATAGAACGTAACAATAAGGTCGATAGTTTTTTACCTTATATTATAAAAAGTATATGTGATATAGTATTGCAAATCGTAATTTAACATTAAGTTTATATGTTATATATTAATAAGTAGAAGAGCTTTTTAATTAATAATTGTATAAAATTAATTCCTTTTAAAATCCTGTTCCAATGACAACTGCATTGCTTCGTGATGGGTCCCGGTGTGTGATAGACACAAAGATAAGGAAAGTTCTGACTGCCTTCCCTAACATCAATTAATTGGACTTGAGCTATTCTATAGTTTTGCAGAGAGACACATTATGGATAAACTGAAGTTCTAGATGAAAACGTAGTTTGAGAATAACTGGATGAATTACAAAGTTCAAAAATAATCTAAAATATTCATAAACTTATTCAAGGCAGTCTCCAATGGACAATTTGCACTCAGTAAAGAGTATAGCAAAGTTCTCACAGGGAACAGATTATTGCTGGTCTGACCACCTTTACTGTACCTTAGTACCGTGGATGAAATAAAATCATCCCTGTATTCAGGTTCATTAAAACCTTAACAAAATTCACAGGTTATAGTATTACCTACATAATAATAATATATACATTGACAAAGTAGCTATTGCGAATAAAAAAGTGGTTAATTAATAGTAAAAAAATTGAAATAAAAAAATTAATTTTAATTCAAGTACATTTTTTGAACTGACCATGCAATTATTTTAAATATCATATGACATTTTGGATTGGCAAAACTGGATTTAATCTAGAATCCAGATGAATGATGATTTCTTTAGAAGAGTAATAAAAGAGCATCTGAACTAAAAAAATTATCCCATATTTACCGAACGAATATCCTAATAGTCTATTGTGCCTGAATTCGGTGTAAATACATAGTGAGTTCAGATTCATTTGATTTATCGATGGCATGGCTTAGACATGCGTAAGTGGAAGCAATTGTGAGTAGTTATTAGAAGTATATTCCCTATCCGCTTCCAGGACAATTGTATGTTAAGATTACGATAAATAGTATGAAAAAACTCGGGATTTAAAAATATTAGTAAACTTATTGTGCGGTATCGATGTTTAGATATTTTAAAATTTACTCGTTTTTATAGAGCCATAAGATTAACTTTCAAATTATTAAATGTTTATCGATCACTTTAGAAACATCTAATGGTATATTAAAAATAAGATTAGTGAATAAATAAAAATCTACAGCTAAAGCTAAAGTTGGACATCATTTAACAGAAATAGTCTAAGCAAACGATTGCTTTCAGGTCTACGTTCCAGACCTATTTATCTCTATAGACGAACAATTACTGTTTAAGCTCTTATAACGATTGCTTTTCAGACGTTTTTTTTAAGGCCACCATTTTTTATAAGACTATCTTGTAAAGAAATAATTAATCATATTTTTAAAAGAGTTATAAACCCACAGATATTATACACGCAGATCTACGAGTACATAAAAAAATTTATAGGTATTTTAGACAGCGAAGAAGTTATTCCATTTACATAAATTTGATGTCCATGAAATATATTGTGTGGGTTTAATATTTTCTATATTTAGAAATCTCTATTCAATAATTTAACTTTATCACAACAAATTTTATTTTTATATTTTGTTTATTTATTTACGTTTATTTATTTAAATCGTCTTTCACGCACTACTTGACAATAAAACAGTATATTTCATTGGCAAATAAAATCGTATTTGTAAACATTTTATTTAATTTAACTGAATAATTTCATTATTTAATTTATGTGAGTAAATAAAGCTTTTATCTTTAGGTTCGCGTTTTTAGTGTAAATAAAGAAAAAAAAAACTAAATAAGAGAATTGTAGTGAAAATTTACTGTGTCGAATGTTGCCCCGACTAGAAAATTATAAGAGGGAGTACTCTTAAATGCGGTTTATTATCAGGGTTAAATTAAATTGAGAGGGCACGTGTTAATATCAACAGATTTAATCAGAGGTATATATTGTGCAATGTGATACCTTTAAAGTTTCTAAGGAGAAGCATGCTTCTCTAATCACCACATTTTCAGTTGTGTTTAAAAGATCCAATAAATGTACCATTGTTATCTTAAACGATCTGTTATAAAGGCAAAGAAAATAATTAATGAACTCTCGAAGTACATTTGTCCGAATAAACCACAGTTGAAGCCTCAATGATCAGTTTTGATCAGCACCAGTCACCAGTTTTGGTTAGGTTCTGTAAGCACCTGTACTGCTGATTCGCTAAAACTGAAAGATCTTATGAAAATCGATGCAGAAGCACGGTGTCCAATTTTTAAAAGGCCCTGTAAACATCCGAACTAAAATATAAAAGAGATCATCATTAAAATAATTTTTTTGGATTTTTTTTGCGCAAATATATGTGCAAATATAACAGTCCTCTACGAATAAATAGATCTATTAAAGTATCTTGAATCTTGTTTAATATAAGGGGTGAGTAATTTGCCATAGATATATAGGTATACAGAAGTCTTGCAAGATGTTAATATATTTTATGAAGGAGAAAGAATAGAAGTCAAAAAAGATGTTAATATATTTTATAGATAAATAGCTTAACGAAATCAAACTAGAAACCTTAAACTGACTGAAGCGTGGATATAAGAAAAGTGTTTTTGAATGAGAATAATTGTGAGCCACTGCATAATTAATTTGAAAGAGATATATGAATGGACAAAAAATTTTTTAATTTAAATTTATTGCTTATTTTATAATAATTTAATAACGAATATATAAATAAAAAACTCTAATACATGTATTTTACATAAAATCTTGTAAGCCAAAATATTCCACTTCACATGATATATTTCAAAAAGACATTCTGATCATTAGTTGACATATTATATGTGGGCATAGACAAGAGAAGACCACATTTAAAGATTTCTTCTTTATAAATATATGAAAATGGAAAACAACAAATAAAGTTCTACTTATATGTATTATAAGGCCAACAAATTTAATGAGTCGAGTATAAGCTTTTAATTACAGCACTCTGCTAGCATATATATATATCCACACCATCGTCACTAATCTATTACTTCTGGGAGAAGTTCTTTATAATTTTATAAAATTTATAAAATTTTATGGGATATTACTATGGGCATACTTTAAGAGGAAGGAGAAGTAGCGGCCCTTAAAGACCATTCAAAGACCATTGGCTATACCCATAAAATTTAAGGGATGTTCTTGAAACAACTTCTAATAGAAAAAAATTTATTATAGCAATTAAAAATTGCTTTTTCAATTCGATGAAAATGTCATAGAATAAAACCAATATTTTTAATATGAT